GTTTGTTTGAGTGGAGGGTATAGCACGTAGGTGGGTGCAGTACAGAGCCGCGGGATGGAGGGGGGGATTGAGGATATGCGGGATGCGCATGCTACATGCGCGAGGAGAGCCGTAGGGGGCGGGCGTGGAAGTAGGCGAAGAAGCGGCGCGGGGCGGAGGTGGGCGCGCGGCGGGGGCGCGTCGGGAAGAAGCCGATCGCCTCGCTCGGGTCTGCGATGCGTGCGCTGAAGGCGACGGGGGCGTCCGGTTTTGACTTTGACTTTGTCTGCAGTGTAAAGTCCGGCAGTGTGAAGTCCGGTAGTGTGAAGTCCGGATTTGTCTTGAGCATGAAGTCCGGGGTTGACTATAGCACGAGCTTGAGATGGGCACGCACGAGAGAAGGAAGGAGGGAAGGGAAGGGAAGGAGGGGAGGCACGTACATGTACATGCAAAGGTTCGCTCACAGGCCGTCTACCCGGGGTATGCGTGTTAAGCTTATCGGCGAAGGGCATGTCGGCCACCGGGGCGGCGTGCCCGTGGTGGGGTTCTGCCAGTGTTTCCGCCTCCGAGCCCGCGTCCGCGTCCGCGTCCAGCTCTAGCTCTAGCTCTAACTGCGCCTCCGAGTAGAGATCCAGCTCTCCCTCGTCGTGCGCAACAGCGGCGGCCCAGCAGACGTCGGCGAAGGAGCGCACGGGGTGGTGCAGCAGCTCGTCGTCGAGCGCAGCGAGGCACGCGCTGTCGAAGGGCGTCGCGAGCGAGGTGCGGTCGACCCACGCCGGGGGCGGGGGCGGGTGCTCGGTCCACGCAGGGTCGAGCTCCCTTCGTCGTTCCAGGTGTGCCTGAGCCGAAGTATTAATTAGCGCGCACCGAATAAATGGAGATGGATCGATGGGCGTACATGTTCTTCACGGGCACTCGACTCTGGATCGGAATCGTACATCGCGTTCATGGGACAAGTGGGGGGAGGGACGAGGGGGAGGGTGGAGGAAGAGAGGCCGGGGAGCTGGCCGGGCGCATCTTATATATTTATTCTTGGAGCTTGGCGTCTACGTATATGTTTGTCTCAGCCTGAGAACAATCAGCTATCCCCGCTCGGTCCCTGGCACGCACAATTAAAAACACGTGGCGCCTCGCTCGCGTATGTGCCTGAATCGGGCTGAGATTGAGAACAACATAGGCCCCCTGTCACTCAGTACTCAGGCCTCAGTCGGTCCAGTCTCTTCTAAACAGACGCTACAACAATATCAGTTGATTTACCTTACGATTTAGGCGTTGATTTACCACGTCAAACCTAGTTCAGCCTAGTTCCAGGCGCTAAGATGACCCCAGATTCCTTCGGAAAGTGGGGTATGAGCTGTGGAGTGGATTCTGGATGAAATTCCGCGCAAGACTTAACATTGAACAAGACTCACCTTTTCTGATGGCTGACCATGTACACAAGGCCACAAAAAGAATTCGCGCTGCGCGCGATTTACTTCACAACGGAAGTGGGCTGGCTTTTGAGTTGATTTTACGATGCGGACGCGGGAAGACCAGACCGGCTGAGGCCTGAGTGACCGGGGGCTACGCGATCCACTAATCCAAAAGTTTATTACGACGACGACGACGGACGGAATGAATGTACGATGGACAGGACGGAGATGAAGGCCGCGGTGTGTAATGTGGATTGTAGATGTAGATGTAGATGAGGCAGCTATAATACAGTGCATTGAGAGAGCGAGCGACCGAGAATGAGAATGAGAATGAGAGATCCTGAGAGAGGAGAAAAGGAGGAGGGGGGAAGAATAACGCGGATCCGATACCGAAACGGAATCTACGGCACCAGAGCAGCCTTGCTCTTCCGGCGGAACTTCTTGGTGAACTGTATCGCGCGCGCGGCCCACCCCGCGCGGTCCTTGTCCTTCGCGGAGCCGGGCGACGTGGCGATGCTGGCGCGCGACGCCTTGTTGCGCAGCGAGCCCGGGGCGTGCACGACGGTCGCGGCGAGCTCCGCGTTCTCGGGGAGCTCGACGGTCGCGGCGGCGACGGAGACGCCGATGACGAGGTTGTTGGTCATGGCGTCGCCCCCGGTGGGGAGGACGCTGGAGCGCGCGCGGCTGAGGCGGCGCGGGAAGAAGCCGCCGACGGCGCGCGAGATGCTCTGGCGCGGCGCGATGGTGTGCATGTGCGTGACGTGGTGCGAGTCCTCCTCGTCGTGCGTGCTGTCGCCGGACCCGCCCGACGCAAAGGACGTCTGGCTACCGTTCTGGCTCTGCGCGGCGGTTCAATAATGCGGACGTTATTATTGCGAAAATTACACGCACGCGGAGCTGTGCTTGGAAGAACGGGGACTTGGCGGCGATGTCGGAGAGCGCGGGGGTCATGGGCGCGCTCGAGCCGCCCTCCGAGTTGTGGTCCGAGGTGGAGAGCTGGAAGAGACGGTTATCGAACGGCGCGTGCGGGACCAGTGCGCACTAGACTGACCTGGCCAAAGCGGGTGATGGAGATGCTGCCCCGCCTGCGCGATCTTCTAAGGTTGTCGGACGATTCCACGCGGGCGATGGTGCTGGCGACGCTGTCATCCACCTCGGCCTGCTGCGCGCGCCGCTCGTTTTGCTCCTCGACTTGCTGAAAGATCTGAGCCGAATGAATAAAAATAGTGAGAATTGCAGGGAAACGCGCAGACGAGTAAAACAGCAAGACAAACCTTTTCGAGCGGGTCGTGGAACGAGAGGTCCACGGTGGTAGTGGCAGGTTCGCTCTGAGACTCAGACATGAGATTCAGGAGCAGCGGTGTCCAGGTTTTGGGAGAAGGTGTCGAGAGAGAGTGTGTGGGGGATCCTGGGGGAGGGTGGGGGGTATTTTACTTGCGGTGAGCTTGCATGGTATGGGTGTATGTGGATGAATGGCTACACTGCCAACAAACCAAAAAAAATCGCTTAAGCCTGAGAAGCCTGCATCACGTGCTCTCATCCCTCTTCCTTCGCCTCCGCGTTCACCTCCGTCCCCGCAATGTCCAAGCACCACCCCGGTACGCGCCTCAAAACCCTCGCATTATTCCCTGCTGATACCCCATAGATCTCATTATGTGCCGGCGTCAGCCAGGCATCGGTGCGTCCTGCATTTATTACGAATCCGAGTCTGACTAACACGGCGCCGTGCAGCAATCGGCCGTCTCTGCGAAAAATGCGACGGAAAATGGTGCGTGCGCTCGTCCAATTCATTCAATTGTAACCAACCCACCCTCAGCCCGGTATGCGACTCGTACGTGCGCCCCGAGACGCTCGTGCGCATCTGCGACGAGTGCAACTTTGGCACCTACGGCGGCCGCTGCATCATCTGCGGCTCCCCCGGTGCGTCCCTTCCTAAACTACTCGCGAAGAACGACCGCTGACGCTTGCGCGCAGGGATCTCCGACGCGTACTACTGCGCCGAGTGCACGCGCCTCGAGAAGGACCGCGACGGGTGCCCCAAGATCGTCAACCTCGGCGCGAGCAGGACGGATCTGTTCTATGAGCGCCGCCGCCTCGGTGCGTCTATTTCCTTCCTCCCGCTCCTCCCTCTATGCTCATTGCGTTCCAGGATTCAAAAAGGGCTAGGCGTGCTACTGTCGTGAATCTGACTCCCTCTCTCTCTCTTGTATCTCCTCGTTCTCGTTGTCGAATGCCATTCCAATGCACACGCGCGTGTACCACTACGTGACGGACGCTCTCTGTTCCGAGTTTTCGGTCCACTGATAGGTGGTCTCTAGGTTTAATCCTTGTGGAACCGGGAACGTGAGGGAGGCGGCGACGCGAGGGTCGCGGCCGTGCAACGTTTGCGTCCTCAGAGCGCCTCATCGACGGGTAGCGAGGACTAGCCTCAGGTGGAGTTGGGCCTAGCCGGTGTAGCCCAAATGAGCCGCGTGACGGTTTGTCTTGGTCTCAATCAACTTGATTTCTGGGCGACACGCTGCTGCAGTGAAGTCAAATCTCACTCGCTTCCCGTTATACTTGGCATACGGGGTCATGATACCCTAATGAACCCGCCCTTAAGTTCTCAATTTTTCTTTTGGTCGCCTGGTACGGCCGGTGCCGATACCATTGATCTCTATCCGGAAACCTATCGCTCTGAGTGAATATGGCTGAGATGTCAGCGTCAAATCCACTTAAGGTTTGAGGGATGTCCCAAATGGATCTATGATGACCCCGCGATTTATGGTGCCTCACAATTCCAGTTTGGTGGGAAGATGTTACCGCAATTTGAGCGGGACTGCGTTGGATCGTGATTTTGGCATCGGGGGAAAGCACGTCGAAGTGGGAAGCTCGGTGGGAATTGCGGAGAAAGACCGTCGACAGCGAAGCGAACAAAAGAGCCGACTCGGAAGAGCGCTCGCGTCCTCGGAGCGCCTGGCCCCTATCGACATAAGTGATGCATGTAGGTGGTCCGGTCCCCGCGTGCTGACCGACGCAATGAGGCGCTTTCTCTTTCTCTCATGAAGAACCTGGCCTGGACCGGTCCGCATCAGAGCGGCGCGGAGGTCTTCCCCAGCGTACGCTCGCACGTCGTGTACCTGCCAGTGGGGACTGGGCCGCCGTGCGCCGCAGAAACGGGCGATGGAGGCGCGGGCTGCGTCGATTCTTCGGCTGTGGAGCTCCCGACCTTGCATCCAGCAACTCCGCGCTGCGTTCGTTGCTCGCTTTCGATTACTGTGAGCGCTCCCAACGCGTGCGGCTTTCAACGCGATGGGCCTCCCGCTGGCAGTGTTCAGTGCTCCGCCAGCGGCAAATCCCGCCCGTTACTCGCGCAGGGCGTTTCGGGAAGCGCCATATGTACAGCCAGGCAGCGGCCACACCGAAGTGCGCATGTGAGTGCGATTAAAAGATGGTGTCTCCGAAGTCTGAAAGTGGGCTCTTACCGTATGAGAGCTTCTACGTGATGTTCACTGTCTTCGTCCACCCAAAAAAAAAGTCGTGTCTTAGAAACCCAGCCCGGCCGAAGAGACGGCACCTGAAGTTTCACGCGAGGTGGAGGGCACGGCCCCGGCCTTCGGCTCCAATTGTCACCACTCCGAGGAATCGAACCTGCGGTCTCCCGGCGTCAAACCTGAGGTCCAAACGGGACGGGCAATTCTACCACTGAACTACAGTGGCGACGTGAGGAAGGTGTATTTGGTGAATATATACTACTCGGAGGCTAGAATCTGTAGAATTAGATACTATTCAAGTTTCAACTGATGCGACAGGGATACAATGACGAATATTAATACACTCAGATAGCGAGTGCCCGCTGGAAGGCGTTGAGCCGGGTTGATTTCTCTTGAACGTTGCAACGTCGAATCTTGATAGCGTTCGATTCCTCGATGGGGATCGGACACTTCGCGATCTTGATCTTGGGCAGTGAGATCAGTGGCAGTGCACCTCGTTCAATCTTACCTTTGCCACCTACTCTCATCATGTCTACCGTTAATCGAGCTCTACTGGTCGCGATTCGGTCTCCCAACTACTCGCCCGACCCCGTCCCGTACTTGGAGAAGAAATTCTGGACATCGCTCAGGGCAGAACCGACTCCAGACGAACCGGTGGCTCTGCGCCAGGTCTACGCGGGAGAAGGCAGGGCGGTTCTGGAGTGGGTTATATTCAAGCTCATGGTCAAGTCCGGCGAGCTCTTGCACAGGCCTATCGGATTCATCAAGGTCGGATTCAGTGCTGCGTCGTTCATTCCAACGTTCAATTCAATTCCACTTCAGTCCATCACCGCGTCTGTGATTTCGCCCGACATAATCCGGGCGTTGCTCATCAAACTGAACCCCAAATCGCTCAAGAATGAAGATGGGACGAGCACCTTCCTGGAGCAGTTTCTCGCTTTCATTGGGGCGCACTGGGAGCAGGCATTCGAGGACACCGAGCAGACGGCACAATGGCTTCGCCCGATTTTCGAACCGCTAGTGCGCGCTGCTGAAGGTGCATACGAGTACGTTCACTATATTAAGACTTATTGAACGCGCTGACGCAAATCTAAATCGCCAGATATAAGCCGCCGAAACAGCCCCGCCTCTCAATGATGGCTACGAAGCGTTATGAGGCTCGCGCCGCTTCCGGTACGCTATCGCCGCCTCGCTTTCAAGCTGTCCCATTTACTCTCAGAAGAGGTCCTGTTATTCGAGAACTTGGAGACAGCTCAGGCCGACGATGAACAACAAGTCCTTGCGGCCCTAGCTTCGGCGAGTGCATTTTACTCGCCCCCAGCCGTACGTTATGGGCATTTCCTAGTCCGAAATCGATTCGCTAATCGAACCCCTTTCAGATCCCCTCATTTGAGTCTTGGGCGGGCGATATTAGCCCTCTGAACCCGGTCGTCCTGGAGCGAGGCCCAACGACCCCGGGCGCAATCAAATATCCGTACAGGGTACGTCTCCTTTCATCCGTCCACTGTGACTCCAAAAAATCTCACATCGGTCAGGACCTTTTCGTCTGGGCGGAAATCCCCAGCCCGAGCGGCATTGAAACAGAACTCGAACTTCCATACGAACACCCCGTTAATTCCATTGCAAATGTACGTATAGCTTTTCTTTCGAGCCCGAGTCTGACCGGCTTTCTTTAGCGGGACGTGTCGGTCACGCAAGCACTTACTCGACTCAGTGTGAACCAGCGTTCCGAGACCTCGAGCAGCGCAGGTCTGCTCCCTGCTCTCGAAGTGAGATCATGCTTGTTCCTCCTCGAGCATCCATTCTGACGCCATTTCGAACGTTTTCAGCTGACGAAGGTATGCGGTACCAGTATCTGTTTGGGAATTCTCTCAACTGTTCCAGGGTGCCCGCGATGTTACCGCAACTGCCTCAACCAGGGAAACGGTGGGCGACGAGACGCTTCCTAAATTGAATTTGTCCGATGTACGACTTGCTTTCCATCTCTGCGACATATTCTGATAGCATGCCATTATGAATAGATCCTCAATCTTCCGAAGGATTCCGGCTCCAGCCTAGAGGTCTTTCATTTTTCTTCGCCATCTATCTGCTCATGTTCTAACGGCATCATTCCAGTTGGCAAAATCTCCTCGGCATGGCACCGTATGTGACTGTTTTCATCGTTCAGAATCGCTCTCATGTTCCCTTCTAGGTGACAGACGAACTTCGGCGTCCCTTGACTCCCAAAAACTAGCTTGTCTGAAATCTCTCCTTTCTTTCCTCCGCATTATTTTTGATAATCTTACCATATGTACTCGACAACCCAAATGTAGACTTCCTATTGTACCGTACTATTGTATATTTTCTCATTATACGCATCACTTGTCATCGGAATCTCGACTTTCCGCTGTTTCGACGGCCGGATTCACAGCTGCCAACCCTTGCAAGCTGAATTTCCGCCGTCTCACTATGAGTTTAGATCGGAGCTGAAGTCCGGGACTCGAACCAGGATCGGTGGCCGGCCATCGAGTCTCCGTCGACCCGGCTCGATTTGTCTGCGATTCATGGAAATGCTTTCAAATTCAGAGACGCTTAAATACCATCGCATGTTCGTGATGATAAATATCACGGATGGCATGTTCAACCGGACTGTCTCCGATGGCATTCGAATCGTTATCGAAATCCCGGTAGACGGGCATTTTTCCAACCGTGGGACCATCATCCGGCAACGCCCGGGGTGCCTCATGAGATTGTTTTTGAGCGTCTTCAACGCGGATCTGTCTGGTTGAATGAAGAACGAGATTGTTTCACAGGGCAGCGCCTATAAAATCGTAGCGTTTTCGAGTCCTGCATTATGTACCTAACACTTTCCTGGGCTCGTTCATCGAAATTCTTCAAGGAGACATTGCACCTCAATACATCACCAATTTCGATATGATAATACCCCCCGCACTAGCGATACAGCCTCAGTTCCACTTCTGATACTCCGCCCAACAAACTACTGCCTCATTGGTTCCGTGGTTACACCGCGAGTCAGTGAACTCGGTGAGTTCAACACAAGTAAATTCCAGCGATGGTTTAAAGTCAGACCAACTGCATATTGACAGGCCACCATCCGATTTCGTAATAACTCCCAGATGTCTCGGTCTTTCCATGCGACTGAGGGAGAATATAGTTTTAAACCACTGCACTGTGATTTTATTCGGTCGGGGTACATAATTTCCGGTGTGTGGAGAAATTGGGATACGGAAGAATGTTGAGCGACATAATTACGCCGGGTGTACTAGGTTGGTATCTCGCTAACTGTCCTCCGGTCCCGAATGGCTCAGTTGGAGTATGAAGGCTACGGATGTTGTCAGACCGTCGCCTGGTGCTCAAGCCGCTATGACCGACGGGGTGCCGCCAACTAGCCATGTGTTCGACCCGTAGCGCAAACCATTTTTTTTGCACGCCGCCTGCCCATACCTGTTCAAGTTTTTACAATCGCTCTTCTCCTTCCTTGTTCATGGTCCCTCGTTCTGGTGCCCAATCTGAACATTGGACACAGTTGATACTAACCAATCCCACTGGGAAACGAAAAACGTAGTTGTGCATACTCAGCCGATATATCAGGTTTTTTTTTCCCTTCTCAATTTCTCAAAAAACAAAAACAAAAAGAAATTGACTAGGGAGATTATACTCAGCTCAAGCTCAGATGACATCTAAACTGCGAGTGTAGACAGACGAAAGAGAAGAGAAGCATATCTGGATCACATAATGCCCTAGTTCCCACGGTTCATTTGGTTGCCGACTGTTCAACGCACAGGTTTTACCTTCCATCTTGCTGCGATACCAAATAACTTCCGTCGCGTCGTGAAAGGTATAAATACATCCTCAATACATTATTCTCTACTGAATGACGCAAGTCGGTGCGGCTTGCAACTTCGCCAGCTTCGAGTTGAACTTGGCATTCCCCGCTTGGCCCTGTGCGTACAGACGCGCCGAAAGCTTGTTGCCCTTGGGGACGTTGGCGCAAAGGATGCCCCTGTGGTGTTGTTTAAGCGTCAGATTGCTGTCGGCGACGGCTTGGTTGACCACCGCGTATTGCTGGAAGTTGTTCGTGATGAGATTGTCTAGTGGCAAATATTAGCCATGAAGAACGCCTCAACAAGGGTGCGGGGGACTGACCAACGGCGCCGTTCAGAGGGCTAATGAAAAGTGGAGGTTCAGTGTTGAAATCATTGAGGGCAAGGGAGAACGCACCCTGTGATCATTGCATTCTGGTAGATATTCTCGGCCAAGGCACGGAAGGGGCTGCCTGTGTTGATTTCCAAGTTGGCGAAGGAGTTGTATATCTGGAACTGAGGGGACGTCAGTGAACGGTAAAGCACGGTTTATTGCTAGCCACTCACGTTGTTCCAGTCAGCGGTTTGCCCGGGAAATTCGTGGACAGCGACGCTGTCACAGGAAAAGTGAGTACTCCGACGCCTAGAAAACCAAGTCATACCCAGATCCTCTCCATTCGAACTCTGCACAACTGTCGTCAGAACATGTCCATTAAGTTTTGTTGTGGGAGCTCACCCAGGACGTCTACCGATGCCGGCCGCTGTCTCGGTATTCCGTAGCACGCAAATTGTGCCGCAGCCACAAGACTGTCGGTCATGTAGAAGCCACCGGGCACCTCTGACGCCATCGTATTAGATGTGAAGAACAAGCCGAGTGAGTAACGCTCGCACCAGGACGGTGGTTGAAGTCTCCGACGGGGGCGCCTCTGGAGAGATCGACCCGGCTGCCGGCGAGCGCGTTTGCGTTTGCCGCGCTTGCCCCGTGGAATAGAGTGATGGTGCCCTTTGCGGAAGGGTGGCTGACACCGGCGCGCGCCTCAAGCAAGTCCTCCTCGATAGAACGCGCGTCCTCGAGGGAACGCGCCTCGAGCTGAGCAGCGGTGCATTTCGGGAGTGCGGAGGGCTTGGCGGAGGGTTTGGCGGAGGCTGTTGGCTTGGTTGCTGATTTCGTAGGGACCTTCGCTATGATACAATAGAAAATCAAACCCGGAACGGTCGACTCTGGATTCGGCTAACCTTTAACAGGGGCCTTTGCGGGAGCCTTCGACTTTACAGCGGCTGATGGGTATTGGTGAGTGTGGATACATATATTGGCAGTGACTAGACTAACTTTTCTTGGGGGCAACTGGGACAGTGTATTAGTGAGGCGAGGGAAATATGTATCCCGAATTAAACTCACCCTTCGCTTTGGCCGGGACGGCTG